TAGCCTTGTTCTTATGATGTTGGAGGGGGGCCCGACAGTCGGTCTCAAGCCACCCAGTCCTCTTTCCTGTTTCTTGACTCTGCCACAGAAAGAATCCAAGGGCAGAGTCACAGTAGACAGAAAGAAGGAGTTTAATTTAACGGATGAGAAACACAGGTTCTGCAGAGAGTGCAGCATGCTCCAGAGACTGAGCAGGGCCCACACTAAGTCCAACACAAAAGCAGTTTCAGCACAGACATCAAGTCTAAAACAAAAGCAAGAAAAACACTTAAAGTTCAGTACAAAGTGCAGGCTGGCTCAAGAGCATGAGCAGCTGCTTGCTGACAGTAAGTTCCATACAAAGTAAAGCATGCACACCTCAGCAGAAGTGTGGCTGCCTCCAGGAAAGTGAGCAACAGCCCCACCTTTGGGTGGGATTTGGCTTTTATAGTTTCTCTAACAATATTCACTTAAGGGGGTGCTTCCCAGTTATATGCACCAGGCATATTCAAGAATATTCTGTGCTTTCTATTGACCATGCCCAGCCACTGGATTTGCAAAAGTCAGCCCCCTGTGGTCTCATTTTCCCCGTTGGTGCTAAAAATAGGTCTAACTGGCAATAATAACTTTCCTCCCGTTGGTGCTAAAAATAGGTCTAACTGGCAATAATAACTTTCCTCCAGGGGAGAGCTCAGAGGAGGGGACCTGAGACTTCGGGGAGTAGCTGCAAACCCAGAGGCATGTCCTGAAATGGAACCCAGGGAAACTGAGCACCTCCTGTATCACTTCCCACCTTGTTCCTTGCAGACATTTTTTCTCCTGTATAATAGCAATGACCCTGGGGACCAGAGTTTTCAAAGGTGTGTGATGTCCCCAGGCTCTATCCACTCTATGTTACAACAGCCCTTCCAGGGAAACTCAAGGCCAAGTTTTCACTGTAAGAACTGGTCCATTCATTCAGAAGAGGCAGAACCCTCTGTTTATTGAACATCTGCCATGTGCTAGTTCCTGTGCAAGATGCTTTATATACATAATCTCATTCATTAATAAGAAAAATCAAGATGATGGGCCGGCCCGGTGGCGCACTCGGTAGAGTGCGGCGCTTGGGAGCGCGGTGGCGTTCCCGCCGAGGGTTCGGGTCCCGTATAGAGACCGGTCCGCTCACTGGTTGAGCGCGGTGCGGGCGCGACACTGAGGGTTGCGATCCCGTTGCTGGTCACGAAAAAAGACAAAAAAAAAGGAAAAAAAAAAAAAAGAAAAATCAAGATGATTGTTATATGTGGCTATTATTATTATACCAAGCATTTTACTGTGTACCAGACACTGAGCTGGAAACTTTACAAGAGTGGTCTTACTCCCTACAATAATCCTATGAGGTAGGAACTACTATTGTTGGGAAAATGCCAAAATAATTTTCTCATAAGCCTGTTTTGTCCCTGAAGTAATATTTTGATCACTACTTGCATGTTTGGCTTCTGTAACTGACCTTGCTTATCTGCCTAGACCACATGAATTCTGAGAAATGAAACTTAT